AAGGCAGGGTGTCTATATTCTTTCAACATCTGCGTCTGACGGATCAACAGCAACTTGTCTTGTGAGAAAATAAACTCCAACACAGAAGAACTTAATATCTTTAAGAACTTTTATCTTATCTATCAATAACTGAAAAGACCCAGCAATAATTAGCAAAGAACAATCGCAGAGAGTTCTGGAAGCTCAATGCCCTTTACATAGGAATACTTCTAGTACGAAGATCTCTTTAAAAATCGCAGAGAGGGAATGACAATCATTAGCTGTGGGCTCACCAAAAGATCCAGCAATAATTAACAAAGAACAATGGCAGAGAGAAAATGACAATCCTTCGGCGTGGGCTCACCTGTAACATACTGAGCGGCTCATTGAGAGTGACCGGCATGGAGATCTTGGTGAGGTCTTTGCCGATGTTTCGGTACAGCAGGTTCCACAGGCTCACATCTGGGCTCTCAGGCTTGGGCACCGGCAGCTTCGTCCGCCGACCCGTGGCGCAGATGGACTGCGACACCATTTCTGGTACCAAAGAAAAAATCATGAGAGAAAATAACTTCCTCTTCATGGTTCCCTTAACACTATCTGTATGCCCTGGGATCATTTTGTAACCCCCCGGGATGTATTCTCCACACTTTATAATGATAATAATAATAATAATAATAATAATAATAATAATAATAATAATAATAGTAATAATAATGGTAATAATGATAACGATAAGGCCCTCTGTCTCGTTAGGAAACAAACTATATGGGCGTTGTACAATCGTTTGAAATCATATATTTACACTACTAGGAACTAGATACAGTACGCCCCTCTCTCGACTTGCTGCGCGATGGCCACATTCGACAGCGGCGTCCGCCATGTCGTTCTTTTTGGCAAGCTGTGTGAAGGAGTTCATGCTAAAGCAATGGGCTAGGCATGCTTTCTCTCTCATACGCAATAAACGAGGCTTGGCTCTTGTAGATTTTTTTTAAACATGGGCGCCGTAGCGTACTATAATATCTAGATTACTAGAAAGCATTAATACAGCGTACTTTTCTACAACTAGATCTACACATTTTTCAATAGATAGAGACGGATAGGCTTTCAAACAAACAAACAAAAAGAACAACAAAACAACGTTATTTCTTCTTCAGCACTTTATCTACGAGATGGTTTATTTCTTATTGACTGATTCAAAGCATATATAGGGCCTATAGAACTTTTAAGAAGAAGTATGACAAGATGTGGGTGTCATGGAAATATCCCTACCACCCCACCCTCTCTCCCCTCCCGAATCTCAAATCCAAGCCCCCCCCTCCCAATTTATGAGTTTGGCATTATATTACAACAAGATTAGACATAAAAAGAAGTTCAGGAGTTTTTTATGCTATTAGGGATAGGAAGGCAATGAAACTCTTGATAAAACAAATTCAGCCAAACGAATGACGAAAAATGATTTTTTTAAAAACACACACAAAAAAACGAGTTAATCTTTCCCTTGTGACATTTGTACAGGAGATTGTACTTTTCATACTTGTATTCACTTATTTTTTGGAATTATACCAAATAAGTAGTGTTTTCTATTTTGGTATTAAACTTTGGTTTATATTGATTTTAAGAACTGAAGTAGACCATGCACCACTTAAACTAAAGCTCCTTCTATTGCTGTTTTAAGTAAGTACTTTTGGAAATTAGTCCTAGTAAAATAACTGTGACAACTCCAGACTCACTGAAAATAAACAAGTGAACTTAACGTTGTTTTGTAGCCTTGTCAATTGTCTTTCAACACAGTGTAGGGATAATGATAACTGAAACTAAAACCTTTTCTAAGGTGTTTTTGGACAACATTCAATCAGATTTAGGCCAACTTGTGGCCACTGAAATTGATTCCCAACTTGTCTGCATCACTGGTGCAGGAAAAGAACATGTTTGTTCATCTAAAAAGTACACTGTTTGAAAAAGAAATTACCTGCCCATTGTGAAAAAGATCTAGTGCTAGTCTACCTTAACTTCACATGACCCAGAACCTTACTGATGGCTCTTAAAAAAACAGCAGCACCAAACGAACCCGGAGTGACTATTGTGCCAATTTTTGTCTTTATAGGATTAGGGTTAACCCTTCATTTTAGTCGTAGCGTTAGCGTAGGGGTTATGTAAGGGGTTCAGCCATTCATTTCGTCTTAAATTTAGCTTTGGAGGATAGGGTTAGGTTGAGCCGTCCATATGATTTGATAGTAATAGGTAGGCCCAAATTGTCACTGCCAAAAATAAAAAAAGGGAAGTGACATTGCAAATAATTTTTGCGCTACTCAACCCATTAGATCTAGATATATATACCAAAAATAATGAGCCATTCTTCTATTTTACTAAAAATTTGAAGACATATGACACTATCAAAAATCTATAATATAAACAGCCAAACTTAAAGTAGTCCAATAGCTTTATATTCGACCTCTATGCGCCTCACTGTCTCCCCCCAAACAACAACAACAACAACAACAACAACAACAACAACAACAACAACAACAACAACAACAACAACACACACACGAAAAAAGAAAAAAACACCCATAGACGATGTAATGCAAGAAAGACAGAAATCACTGAACTGCATGACAGAAGCAGTGTTGAGTTGTTTAAATTAATTCGTGCAATAGAAAATGTGTACCAAACATATAGCAAGCTCAGCACTAACTGCAGTCTGGCTATGGTTTCCTTTGTTACTAATATGTCATATACATTACATCATATATTTTACACACGAGGAAGGTTACAATGGCAGCCTATCTTTGGTTGCTCCCATCCATCATCATCCCATAAAATATTATTGCTGATGCTTTTATATATAGCCTATTACTATGGATGTATACAGGCTTATGACTGTTCATGTTAAACATCTTAAATCAGTTAGTCAAGTGAGTGAAACTAGTACCGCAGATTAATAGATCTAGCTTGGATTTTGTGATGTTTAAATACGTAATTAAACACAATGGCGAGGCAAAATTGCAGCGGTCAGATCTTACATTAATTAGCAGAAAGGTAGGCTTTGACCAGACCAGGCTCCTAACTTTTCGAACATTTTCTTCAAAACATAGATCTGGATCTAATCTGTCTAAATTCTTATCAATCTTATTCATACCAGTGTAAAGAAAGAGAGGTTCATTTGGAGGCTTTCTTAGCGCACAGATAGACACATGAGTGTTGCACGATCCCTTTACTGGTCTCGTTTTCTTTAGTCTTCCACTTCCAGACTAACCAGACGTTTGCTGGAGATGAATTTACTGTGAGAAAGTCTCTAAAGCTGTAAAACGTTAATCCTGAAAAGGTCTACAGGTTTCACATGCTTGCACTTTTCAGATAATCTCTTTGGATTAAAAGACAACGTTAGAGTCTAATAAAACACTTTCCTTACTAATAGCAGAGGCACACCCACTCATGTGTAAAGAAACTTCTTTGCCAATTCGAAAATGGCCGCTAACCAACTCAAAGGTTTCCGTGATGTGACCTCGTACAGACTCTAGTCAGAGACAGTCCTTGCTCTAGTTTAAAAAGGAGAAAACTCTATGTTTGAAATAGACAATATTATTATACAGACAAAAGAACCCCCCCCCCCCCCAATAGGTTCAACAATCGTTGAGGGGACAAAGAATGGCAACGTTCAAGATCTTAAAATATAAAAATATCTTTAATATTTTCAAAAACGACGCAGTATTTTATATTCCTCTCACTTTTAATGGATGGGTGTTCCGGGCTTAGGTTAAGAAAGTGCACGACAAAAAAGCTCAGTCTTAGAAACAACAGTTTTCATTCTATCAACATAATTCATAATTTTTTCTTTAACAGACCGATACTTTTATAAAATCAAACATTCTGTTTGGATCAACGACGGAGAACATATCTTTTAATTTTTTAACTTTTAATTCAGATGTTTCCTTCGGCTCTCTCCAAATTCCGGGCATTTTGTTAGTATGGGTCTGTTGGTGAAATTTGTCATGCAGAAGCGTTTTTCATCTTTCTGTTGAAGGTACTTATGGGATTTAAACGTATTATAAGAACGGAGACATCAAACAGACCGTTGCCTAACTTTCTTTTTTGTTTTTGTAAAGTGTTTTACGGCGCTCGCAACTGCATAAGGTCATATGAGCGTGCGGGACACACCTAATATTTTCAGTTGGTAGGAAATTTTGAATTTTGCCCTACTCTTATCGATTTTAGACCACCAAGGGATCTTTACCGTGCGCAACTTGCACGCAGGCCCTCCGAGATTTTTCGCCCTTGTCC